AGGAGACACTGCCAATGTGCTTTACCCCAAGTTCATTCTTCCTAGCCACGATCTGGAGGAGCCTGAGGAGGTGATGCTGTTCAGCTTGGTCCAGCTGAGCCATCAGTGCCACCAGGTCCCGCAGGCGGAGGTTGATTGGCCGTGGCTGCTTCTCGTAGAGGGCAGGAAGGACACGCAGCAGCATCGAGTTCCCTGAGGACGCAGCAACCAAAGGGCAGTGAGTGCCTGCTGGACAGTGCCCTACACCTTGAGAGATCAGCCTGGAGACACCAGTTTTTAAGGATCATGGAATGGTTTGGGTTGGAAGGACCTTAAAGATGGGCAGGAACATCTTCCACCAGTCCAGGTTGCTCCAAGCCCTGTCCAATCCTGAAGGATCATCAGTACAAAACCAGAGAGGCACAAAGCACACCATAGAAAATTTTATACAGGGCCAAGAAGCCAAATAAATAACCAAAACAGAACAAACCAGTGCAGGTGTAACTGTGTAAGCGTAAAAAATCCCCTGAAATTCCTAGTAATTATCATATTTCCTGAGCACAAGATCATGAGGATGCTGCTCAATGCACTTTTGGATTTGGATGATGCTCTGTTGAGTCCTAGACTAAAGCAAGTGTGGTCTAAATTAACCAAACAGAAGAAAAAAAGAAAATAAAAACATATAGGGGAAAAAAAAAGAAGAGGAAAAAGAGGAGGAAAAAAGAGAAGAAAAAAGAGAGAAGGAAAAAGCAAAGAGCCATAAAAGCTTTAATTCTCCTTTGTTGTGATTGAAGCTTTCGAATTAAATAAGCAGCATATGGAAGAATAGCTGGTTGTTAAGAGAACTAAATGTGCATGGCAGTAAGTTTGCACAGAAAGGGTTAAGGATGCCATTTCCAGGAATAGAAGGAGCCAGAGAGAGTCAGAGCCAGATATGCTAGAGCCTCTCACACGTTTCCTTAAGATGTCTGTGCATAATTCAATTTGAAGCCCAGGCTCATAGCAGAATATATCACTCCACATTGTTGTCCATGCCTGCCCCAATGTATTTCAGTTTCACTGGAGCAACATATGGAAAACATCTGCCTCTTGCAACCTAGTATGGCTCCTTTTTGTAAAGCCTTGCAAGTCCTCACGGTCTCTTTGGATTTGGTTTCCAAGAGGAACTCGCTCTCTGGCCTCCTGCTTTCCCTCCCATTTCAATCTGAGCCATGTAATTTTGGAAGATAAGCAGATCTGTTCATGGATGGTAGAAAAAGGATATATGGGTTCAGACTGGAGCATGTCAGGTTCTTGCCAGATGCAGAAAATACACCCCAGGATACTGTTGGGTCTTGCCACATCACCCCAGAGCCAAAGAACCAGCACATAATTCATTACAGGTTCAGACAATGTTGAGTCAAACAGCTTGTAATGATCCCTGAGAGGTCCTTACCCTCTGCAGGGGTGTCTCCCCCTCCAGCCAGACACACTTCTGCATCCCATCCTGCTTGGAGGATCACTGGATCCTCCCTGAAGGCCACTCTGAGCCCTCAAAGCAGCTGAGTCAGTGCCAAAGGCAAGGTCAGACCTCACCTCCTACCCCAAGGACATGGCCAATCTCAGTCTTATTGTGCTCTATACCTAAAGCACAAAGGCCGGTGGCAAAGGAAAGAGATTTGCTGGTGAATTACACTAAAAAAATTACAAAGCTCTTCTGTTCCAGCCATTTCCTAACCACATTCTCTGTGCAAATCTCTTCCTTACAAGTGAATCCATATAAAGAGTGTCACCACTGATGTACTGTGAGATCAATGCAAAGCACCAATTTATCCAAAATGAGAACCTGGATATCAGGAAAACGTTCTTCCCCCAGAGGGTGTTTGGGCACTGGAACAGCTCCCCAGGGCAGTGGTCACAGTCCCAAGCCTGACAGAGCTCAAGGAGTGTTTGGCCAATGCTCTCAGGCACAGGGTAGGATTGTTGGGGTGTCCTGTGCAGGGTAGAAGTTGGACTAAAGATTCTTGTGGGCCCATTTCAACTTAGAATCATAGAATCATTAAGGTTGGAGGAGACCTCTAAGATCATCAAGTCCAGCCATTAAACTGTTACTGGTGGAACCCCTAAGCCATATCCTCCAGTACCAGATCCAGACACCTCTTAAACACTTCCAGGGCTGGTGAATCCACCACCTGCCTTGGCAGTCTTAGAACACTCGATGATAAAAATGTGAGAGGATGTATTTACATGAACTTCTCTAGACTCACATCACAGTTCAAAACTGAAACATTTTGTACGGAATGCACTAAAAATTCCTTTCTCTCTGCTAATGTGTTTATAGCACTAAGTCCTTTCTTTGCATTTGCTCACATTTAATTTCTAATAGAAGTTTTCTGTCCATATGGAGCAAAGCCCTTAAATTCCAGTTGAATTTCAGCAATCATAAGGATTGCAAAAGAAGAAATTCGCATATTCCTGGAGAGGTAAAACTCATCTGAGCTGTGCAAGTGTGGTGGGAAGGAATTCAACTGAGAGCAGCAAGTGATGACAGCTTTAAGCAAGGAAAGAGGCTAACCTGAGTCATTATTGCCTAAGTTGGATGGCACAGATAGAAAGGGATCTGGAAAGTGAGATTAATTGTTTTATCTGGGAAAAAAGCATTGAAGTGTTGGGTGTATGGAGGAATGATGCAATGGGACGTGACACAACGTGATGGACTGCAGCCACCAAGCTTCTCTGAACAAGAAATACTTTGTGCAAGGGCAGATTTGGGCAGTTTCCTCCAGTAACACTGCTGGGTTTATACTCACTAACCAAGAAAAGCAAAGGCAATTTAGGAGCAACCTCATCCCTTTGCAGTGATGTTCAAATGACCTCACTGCCATAGAATTGCTTTTAACTGAACAACCTGTGTATACAAAAGTGTAAACAACCCTGTAGATCCCACAGCTCATGTCTGCCCTCCTTAGAACTTAAGAAAGGTCATTAGGCACAACCCAATTGCCTATTTTCTTGTGTTTTTATGTGAGTTAGCTCTGAGCACCTCTTGCCCTTTGTTTCTCACACCTTTTCAGTCTCTAAGGAATTTGCACACATGCAGCTCAGCAACCTTTTGCTCCTCAGAGCTCAGGCAGCCAGAGGTGATACTGTGCCTGTTCACAAATAATTCCCATTTTCCCAGTCTTGCTTCATTTGTCTCAGCTTAAACCAAGAGCCTGAAAATATTTGTTGTCTGAGAATGGAAAAACATTCCACTCAGCTCCTTAATTACCTTCCTTTCCTCTTCCTTCCCTACCACCCTTACCCCCAATACTTTCCAGATTGGATTTTCTCAGATTTTCCAAGCAGACCACACACACTGGGAATTATGCAATTCAGGCAGAAACTAACCTACAGTTGGGGACACTGGAGGACCTTGCACTGCTTGGCTGCAAGGCAGGCAGAGAGGCACCACAGTGGTGTGGTGTGTCCTGCTGGTTCCAGCCTGCCCTGGCTGCCACCACTGCACCCACAAGTGGCAAAGGTTACCTCGTGCTCCATCTCTGCTCCACCCAACCCAGCAACACTGAGAGTTTAGGGGAAACAATGAGTCTCGTAGCATATTGCAATGCAACATGACAGAGGGGCTCTTGAAGATGCACAGCTGTGATTTGATAATCAACCCAAACTGAGTGTTCAAAGATAAAGATCATAAACCAAGACTAAACTTTTCCCCAGGATGACTCAGGTTAGGCATATTCCTATCTGAAAATCAGAATCACTGAGGTTGGAAAAGATCTCAAAGATCATTGAGTCCAACCCATCACCACCTTGTCAACTAGCCCAGAGCACTGAGTGCCATGTCCAGTCCTTCCTTGAACACCTCTGGGGATGGTGACACCTTCCATTAGCCCAGGTTGCTCCAAACCCCATCCAGCCTGGCCTGGAACACTCACAGGGACGAACAGCCATAACTTCCCTGGGAAACCTGTTTCAGTGCCTCATCACTCTCACATGGAAGAATTCCTTCCCAATACCCAAGGCACAGGTAGCTCAGGTTTGCACAAGGAAACCCAGAGACACAAATGGAAAGGGAGCACAGATTGCAAGTTAGATGTAATTATATGAGATTTCTTTTTCTGTTCTCTGGTTATTTCAGAGCCAATACCTAATTTGTACCATATTATCCTAATCTCACCTAAGCAATGAATCTCTGAAATGATTAATGGCCCATTGAATTGATAATCTTAGTGAATTTAAACCAAATTAATACCAATAATACTTACACTAGATTAATTTCTGATCCCAGAGCACCTTTTCTTGATTTTTCAGAGGTAACAGACAACTCTAATTGTGCAGCTCCTAATCTATACATTCCCTAAAGAAGATACAGCACTAACATGATATCTACATAGTCATGGTAGTGTTAGGGTTAATTAGGACAGGAAAAGGAAAACAAGCTGTCCTCTCCTTTATAGCTTAAAGCAATAAACTGTTAGTATAGAATTTATGATAGGACAGGCAATGACTATCAAACAAAGCTGCAATATTTAGTTCAACCAGCCAAATGTACCCAAACCAGCCCCAGAGATGTTTATTTGTCTACCAATCCCCTTCTGAGCCCTGGCATGTACCAACCACAACCTGAGCTTGTGGAGAGCACTTTCTTTTCCTCAAACAACGCAAAATAACTTAAGCAATGCAACTCCAAGTGGTTTCACCCCCTCAGGTTGCTGCACATCGCAGCAATCCTCTCCCAGGGGAAGCTGCAGCTCACAGGAGCAGCTTTCCCCGGATTTTCCCCTCTGCAAGTCAGTCCATCCCCCAGTGAAACCTGGAAGGCTGGGACTGAGCAACGCCCCCTTCTCCTCTCAGCCAAAACCAACAGCCACAAGTGCTCCTATTACAGCCCTGGCACTGGTGCTGCTCATTCATTCAAGCTCAGGCGCTCGGAACATTTATTAGGGGCTCACTCACTGCATCTCCCTCGCAGCCCTGTCTGTGTGCCGAAGCCTGACTGCAACTCCAGCCTGCCCAGGGATTCTCAGCAAACAGCTAGGACAATGCTGCCCCAAGAAATACTCTCTCTGCTCACCCTCTTCTGTGTTTTCAGGGCTTCTGTTTCTGTGCTGGATGAAGATGATGACTACGATCTCATGTATGTGAATCTAGAAAATGAGATTGAAGGTCCAGCCCTTGGTGCAGAGGAAAGTAAGTAAATCATAACTACATCTGTGTTAAGTGCAGAGTTGCATTCGTTGTTGTTAAGCTCTTGTAACAGTTGTTACTACAAACAGTTCATTTGTTTCAGAGGGAGAAGCTCGTGCTTGTACCAGGAGGTTACTGTGCTAAAGCCCTTGGATGCTGTGCCTTGGAATTTGCTTTATACTCTTGATTTTTCAGCTGTTGTGCAAGAAAACCTGTGATGACAATTAGTTTTAGGATCTCTGTACTGCACACTGCTTTACTTGGCTGGTTTGATACAGAGGGACATGGCAGGGTGGGTTGGAACTACATAGTCTTTAAGGTCCTTCCCAACCCAAAGCAGTCTGTGATTCCACTTTTCCATGTCAGTCTGGAGCACATAAGCCTTGCACAAAGCCAGATTTTGTCACACTCCTTCTGTTTCAAACCAAGTACAAAGGAACAGCAACATCTGTATCTTCCCTTCCAGCTGCTTCGTGCGACTGCCAGCGAGAGCACACCAAGTGGGACAAGCTCTTCATCATGCTGGAGAACTCCCAGATGAAGGAGAACATGATGCTGCAGGCAATGGAAGAGCTCCCCAAGGTGGACCTGCAGACCCTGAAGACAGAGCTGAGCCAGCTCACCACCAACCTCGTGAGCTCTTGCGCCGCTGCCGTCGACAAGGTCACTTCCCACATCCTCTCACAGGTAGAGCAGCTGCTTGTGAGGGCCAGGGACCAAGCTGAAGAAACCAAGAGGCTTCAGGAGTTTGAGCAAGGAAACATTCTGGAGCACATCCTGCAGCTGAGCCACAACATGTCCCTGAGGCTGGGCTGGCTGGAGAGTGCCTGGCTGAGGAGGTCTGAGGTGGAAGCACAGGAGACAGCTTTGCAGCAGGAGAAGTTTTATCCCACCAGTGAAGACAATCTTGTTTTGAACTCACTGTGGAAAGAGCTACAGCAAACCCGAGCTGAGCTGAAGGCATCACAGCAATGGGCAGCTCAGCACCTACTGCCAGCAGGTAAGACCACGTGCACTGCTCCTTACTGTTCTTTGCTGGACCTGTCCAAACACACATCCTACAAACACCTCTCTTGAGCACCTTCCTCTCCATATGACTCCAAAAGCACCTTAGAAATATCATGGCAGCTTTGAGCAGTCTACAGAAAGGGAGGAAGCCAATTAACTTCTTGCAAAGAGGTGCTGAGCTTCTCAAAGGTAGAATCAGAGAAGGGTTTAATCAAAGTCCTTAAAAGGGCAGAGCCAGCCAGGATCCCACCTCCTCCAGGCGCTCCCAGACCAAAACCATTGCCAGAGAGTAGCAAACTTATTCTAAACATGCAAATTTTCTTCTATCCTCTTTTACCTTCCCAGTTGGTAACTTCCATCACACACTGGTCACTGAGCTCTCCTGTTCTCTTCCTGCATGTACCCACTCCTTCCTCTTCCTAAATTAACATCTCCTCACCAACTCCAACTGCCCAAAAGCAGTGGAAGCTCTGCTGATGTCAGCCAGCCAAGCACAGCTCTGCAGCAGGGAGGACACATCCCCTGTGTGCAACTGTCTGGACAGAGTAGTTCCTGCAGCATGGAGAAATCACTAACATTCTAGTAGTGTTGTTTGGGGTAGGTTTCCCCTGTGGTAGTGTTGTGTGGGGTATTTTTTCCCCTTCCAAAAAGTTTGCACTGGTCAGCAAATGAGGTGGCCAAAGAAAGATGAGCTCATACCTCAAATTCCATGTCAGTTCTCCTCTGCAGTGCAATATGAGACCCAAAAAGCAGCAGTTTGAGTATGGCAGAGCAGACTCTGAGCTGTTTCAATTGTGGCTGCAGAATTGCTATGTGCATGATGCAATTATATTGATCTAACTCTGCCTACCAAGGAGCTCTCACTGCCTGTCTTCCAACTGCTGAGTAATGACTGTGTTTTCCACAAGTGAAAGTTATTACAGCTCCAAAGCCCCACAGAAATCTCGACTTGCAGCATCCCATGGGTGTGTGTGCGTGCAGGAAAGCAGGGGGGAGTTAGGCCAGCCTCACCAGTGACCCACAGCAGCATCACCAGAGTGATATCTTACACCAGGGAGCAGCTTGGAACTGCTAGGGCAAAGACAACAACTTCCAAACAACACAGCTGACATCAAAGCGTTTTACAATCTCACATGAATCTGTCCTTTCATGTAGGGCATGGATTCAGCTTCAGAAGTAAATTGCTTTCACTCCTTTATCATAACACCTCAATAATCTTTGTGTACTGGGATAGATCTTAGAGCATATTCCTCTTTTCCCCAGACACAAACCTCTTGCCTTCCAGAGAGCATGATCTCACTCCTTATCTCCTCCTGTAGCCCTGCCAGCCTTGCAGGCAGCTACCTCTGCACTAGGTAAGAGCAACAAACCTGATCTGCATTGAAGATCACAGCCTCATCAGTGGAAATTCACTTTATTTCCACTGCCCCTATAAGATTTTATCCAAAATATTTATATTTTTCAATTTAAAGGCTACATTTTAAGTACTTCCAGAGTCTCTCTCTGGAATTTCTCTTTTTTTCCTAGGGAATTTTTAGCAACTGCCTTTAATTTCTCACATCTTGATTCACTGCCAGCCATACTCTAGAGGGATTTTCTAATCACACTTCTTGTTCTTTCACTGAGCCTGGTTTTCATTTAGTTTAGACTTTGATAATAAAGCCTGAGAGCTTGCTAATTAAAAGCTTTTTTTTCACCATAGTGTTCCTAAGTAGCATTTTAAGGAGTATCCCCCAGCAGTTGCTCCTTGCCCCTGCACTTCCTCCAAAGGGCCAGTGTGAAATCTGCCTGAAGCTGGAAGGAAGCAGCCCATGAAATACCACAGCAGTGCAGTCCTGGAGGGCACAAAGAGTCCTTCATTCCCTGCACCAGAACTTTCCACACACGTTTTAGACATTTCAGCCTGTTTAAACAGGAAATGAAGCAGCTTAATTGGTGAAGGAGCTGCTTCTTTCCCTGTGGCACCTCGGAGAGTGAGTTATATACAGCTAGGGAACAGCACAAAAAATACCTACACTGACTTGGGGTTAGTGAGCATCAGCTCCTTTCCCAAGTTTTATAACTTTCTGGTAATGGTTTTAGCTAGTCTAATTTCACATCTAATTGATGAATTGGACATGAGAGATGAATTGTTTTGCAAATATCACTTGTCTCATACATTTCTGCTGCTTCCCCAGTGCCCATGAACCAAAAACTCCTAAAGGCAGGGCCAAGAAAGGGAGTTGTTGCAGTAAATACCTCAATAAGCTCATCACAGCATGTTCCTATCAACACTCCCTATGCCTTTTTGGTAGCTCCTGTCCTCCTCTGCTGCCCAGTTATCCATGGAATGGTAGCAGGACATAACCCGTGGTACAACCACTCAGCAGTTCCCTTCTCCAGCCAGAGCCTCAAGCTCTGTCCCAGGAACACCACAGTACCTAAAACCTGCCGTAGATAGATCGCTGAGCCCATCCCCTCACCACATTACTATTTTAACTGCTCCATACATGAACACAGAGGGATGACAACCTGTCATAATTACGCACTTTGAAGGGCTAATTTCATTAGGTGAGGCAGCAAGAGAGGGATTCCCTCTTCTCCCAGGAGGGTAAAGCCCAACTTACCAAGGGAATCACCAGGACAGAGAGGCTGCATTAACCCTAAACATCACTTTTGATGTCCCAGAACTGTACAATACACAACCTGTGCAGTGAAGGAAGAGCCAAGCTCCCCTCCTGCAGGGATTAAGCCTCTACACCCATTGCCATAGTGCTCCACAAATTCCTTCATCAGATCCAACAGCTTCTTCAAAGGGTCCTGTGGGTGGGTTCTTGAACCCTGCTGGATGAGCTGAGCTCTCAGCTCCCTTTGGGAAGCCCAGAAGTGAGCATTGGATCAAGCACTGGCACAGGCCACCCAGGGAAGTGATGAAGTCAGCATCACAGGAAAGGCTCAAAAACATGTGGATGTGGCACTTGAGGACTTGGTTGAGTGGTGAACATGATGGTGGGGTTGGGTTGATGGTTGGACTTCATAGAATCATGGAATGCTTTGGGTTGTAAAGGACCTTAAAGTTCATCCAGTTCCACCCCACCCCCTTTCACTAGCCCAGGTTGCTCCAAGGATCATCCTACCTGGCCTGGCACACTTCCAGAGATGGGGCAGCCACAACTTGGTGATATTAGAGGTCTTTCCCAAGCTATTCTATGCTAGGTCAAGGGTCCCAACCCTGCAGGTACAAACACACCAGTGTTTATTTACCTGACAACCTTTTAACTCTTCCAGGGTGTGAAACTGCAATCCTCTTCCCCATGCGCTCCAAGAAGATATTTGGGAGTGTCCACCCAACTGCTGGAATGACCCTTCACTCCTTCACTGCTTGTATCTGGGTCAAGGTGACTGAGGCTTTGGACAAAACCATTGTCTTCTCCTATGGAACCAAATTCAACCCCTATGAGCTGCAGCTGTACCTCAGCCGGGACTCAGCCGTGCTGCTCGTTGGGGGTGGCCAGCACAGCTTAGCTGCCAAAAATGTGGTTGTGCCTGGGAAGTGGATCCACCTCTGTGGCACATGGAGCTCAGAGAACGGATCTGCATCCCTGTGGGTGCAGGGGGAACTCGCAGCAACTGCTGAGGACATCGCCAGCACTCACACCATTCCCGACGGAGGCATCTTGCAGATTGGCCAAGAAAAGAATGGCTGCTGCGTTGGAGGTGGATTTGATGAAGCTTTAGCCTTCTCTGGGAAGTTAACTGGCTTCAACCTGTGGGACAGAGTGCTCAGTGCCACAGAGATAGCAGCACAGAGTGGGGAGGAGGCGTGTGGCACCAGGGGCAACGTGGTGGGGTGGGGAGTCACAGAGGTTCTAGTCTATGGAGGAGCTCAGTATGTGTCATAAATGCTGCCAGGCAGGTTCTGCCCAGTGAATGGATTTCATGAAGAGCTAAAACATCAATACTACAAGTAAACAGAGCTGTAGGAGCCTGTGTGTCTCCAGTTCCCAAGGAAGATTAGCATTGCAAGGGTGAGGTATGTGCAGATGGGATTTGATCTCTGCCTGCTGTTTTGGCAACACACTGAAGAAAACCACATCAAGGCCTGTTCTTGAGCTGTTCTTGAGGTCAGGTGGCTACTGGCTGTCCTGTGCAGTGTTTTCTGATGTATAAAAGTGAGGGTCCCTGTGGACAATTGGGAGCCAAACTGTGCTCCTGACATACCTGCTGAAGCAAACCTGACCTGGCCCTGCAGAACAGACCCAGAGGCTGTGGCTGTTCCATCCCTGCAAGTCTTCCAGGTCAGGCTGGATGGGGCTTGGAGCAACCTAGTGGAAGGTGTCCCTGCCCATGGTGGGGGTTGGAACTGGCTGATCTTTAATGTCCTTCCAACCCAAATCAGTATGTGATTCTATGATCTTGGGTCCTCCCTGTGAATTGTGCAGAGGAACCATCTAAGTCAAGAAATGTGTTGTTTGTTAACTGTTGTTAGTAACTTGTAGGCTATAACAGAACTAACTCCTTGTTTAAAACATTATTTAAGCCATGGATTGTTATCAAAGTCATATTCCCCATCATAACCTGATATTCCATTGGGAGAAAAGCAGCTGTATTATACTGTAAATTGACTTTGTGATATTTTTATTGAGTTTATTTTTGTAAAGTTGTTCTGTAAATAAAGATACTTTACTACACTAAAACTTGGCATTCTTCTCATCAACCAAATGATTGAACCAAAAACTATGAAACTCAAATTATGAAACTAAGCCCCAACTGGGAATTCTTCCATGTTTTGAACCATATAGTTTTAGCTCCTTATAGGAAAAGAACATAAATAGTGACATCTCATGGAAACAGAAAGACCCTCAGAGGACTGAAATCCAAGCACTAGCCAGGGACAGTTGGTTGTGACTGCCCCAGCACCCTGGCAATGTTCAAGGCCAGGTTGGCTAAAGCCTTGAGTAACCTGGTCTGGTGGGAGGTGTCCCTGCCCGGGGCAGGGGGTTGGGACTGGATGATCTCTAAGCTCCATTCCAACACCTTAACAGTCTACGAGAGCTTTAAATGCCCCTGGGGATAACAATCCCTCCAGTGAGTGCTGCCACATGCAAGGATCTGTCACTCTAGGAGTTCTCCCACACGGACACAATTGGTTGTCCAATTGCTTTGACATGCTGACGTGTGATGAGCTGAGGCTGTGCAATCACAGTGCTTGGAGGCTGAAGGAAGGATTATTTTTGGGATAGTCCCAAAAAAACCCTCAAAAAATCAAGTCAGTACCCCATGCATGTCTCTGATGACAGACTCAGTTTTAAGGTACATTTGTCCATCCAAAGTCACCAATTTGTTTGCGGCTAACAGGAGACTTGTACAAGGCAGAATTGCTGCTCAGTGCCAGTGACTTTCTTCTCTCACACTCATGTGCTTATCCAAAAATCCAATAAAGCCCTCGCACTGGATGCAGAGCATAAGCAGCAGATGCAGAGAGCCAAGACACCAGTGGTGATTTCAATGTAGGAAACAGCCCAAGTAGAGAATGATGAATAGTTACTCACTGGATATGTAACCATTTATGGCAAGAATCATTATTCACTACCTGTTGAAGCTTCTGAACAAGTTATCATGAAGAATGTCTTATTCAAAGCAATTCCTACTTCCCCTGGAAGCAGCTCATCCTTCTGCTCTATTCACATGTTTCCATGTCTCTCTCATTCTCTACAGATGTCCTAACACACTTTGAAACATTCCTTGGCATGTTGCTGCTATCCTTATCCCTGACCACCACCAGCTACCAGATCAATGCTTCCAGGTTACAAACAAAGCAAGAAAAGGCTCTGACAAGGTAAACTCCACATTGCTATGCCATTCAAGGGGTTTGTGCTTCATACCTAAAGCTATACAACCTGGTCCAAAATTCTGGCAGCACTGTTGATTCAAGGGAAAAATAATTGCTGGAATTTCTCCTATTACCCTGCAATAAAAATGTATCTGAGTTATAAATGCTTAGTAGTAAACATGACAAAAATCCCTCACTAAATAATACCTGCAAATAGCCTTAACTACAGGACAATGAAGTATTACTTCAGTTCCTCTGGTAACAGCCAGAAAATATCTTCAGAGTTACAAAAACACTTGAGATCCCAACATTGTGCAAGGGCAAAACCACTCACACATCCTCTTTGCAGACAGTGCCCTCCAGTAAATGGAAACAAATGTCCATGAAACCCAGCAGAAAAAGGAAAAGCCTCAAAGCAATCACCAGAAACCCTTCCCGGCTACTCTTCTTTATCTAGCTCATGCCTGAAATGCTTTGTCTTGGAAGGAACTTTCTCCTATATCTGCTTCGGTTTGGCAGAGGACCAAATGCAAAGCCAGTCCTTCCATTCTCAATGACTTAGCTGGAAAACTCTCCTCATCCCAACTGCTTTGCTGTTCCATTATCACCTCTGTGGACTAGCAAAGCTTTGCCACAGCCCAGCAGCACAAACATCTCCACCAGCACACTTCTCTCTTTCTCTTCTCCCTTAACTATGCTCTTCTGTGTCAGTTTGGCTGTTTGGAAAACACCAAGTAAATAGTATTTTGGGGGAAATAGAGCCCAACCTACATATGGAGAAGTCACTATGTCTCTGCTCTTGCACAGCCAAGGTGGAAATCAAAGAGCTGTGGCAAGACATGCATGGCTGGATCATGGTGCCGAGTCCAGCTCTGCTCTCTGACAAGGCTCTGCTGTATTCATCCACATGATTCCTGAGCTCTGGAAAGTGAAGCAGCCATGGGACTCTTAGATTACAGGGCTATGTTACTGCTGTCCCCTGGAAATGGGGATAAAGCTGTGTGATCCCTCCTGCTGATAGAAGGTGTCAGGGCTGGCAATGTCGCAGGCACATTGCATGTCTAGAAGCTGAGTTCACACTAACTGCAACAGAGCAGTTAAACACTCTCCCTAAGGAGTTCTTTTTGAGCTAGTAAGATAAGAACCTGATTATGCAGCCAAAGAGTTGCCCCAAGTAATCAAAAAGCCCAGTTAGCTCTCCAACATGCACAGGCAAAGGGCCAAATATGCTATCAGCCTGGCTGATGCCACGAGGCTGAGCAGCCCCAGAACAAGGTTCTTTGTCTCCAAAAACTTCTTTAGGAACTCATCCTCAGCAGCTTAGCCTCTTGCTTCCCTTCTCCATTCAGCAAAGAGACTTTGAGCATGGCTCTTAGCCTGCTGCAAATCAAATTTTCATACCCAAGACAACAATTATGTTCAGTGTAACTAAGTTACTGTGCAAAGCAAAGCACTTAGGCTGTTCACTGCCCTTTTCCCGGCTGGAATTTCCAATCCTGATATCCACAGCAACATCTGCTGGTGGAATAACATAAGTACACAAGCAACTGACATGAGCGATTAAACCTCCAGTTTGCAACACTTTTCCCTAACCTGTGACTATATTCACTCTGTTTCTGTTTGTTACTACCACAAGTAGCAATGCACAATGTTAACTCATTAATACTAATGCCACAAGCCTTAAAAAAAATGATAAATTAATGAATATAGAATGCACACACTTCATCTGAAGGCTTAACAACTTCACAACAATGTTCTCTTCATAATTAGACAGTTATTGCTATTATCTGTACTAGAGGGAACACAGTGATTTTACTCCTGCAGTAGCGCTGCAGCAAGCACTGTGAACCTTATTACTTCAATTAAATAGGAGTTCTTTTTGCAGAAATATGAATATTTTTGGCTGTTTAAACCACAAAAAATGAAATGCAAAGAGATTAGCAACAATATTCTATACCAAGCTAATAATGTAGGAAAAATAGAGAACCACAACAAAGATTTTATGTCTTACATCTGCCTCTTGCCACAGAGTGGGATTCATTTCATTCCCACTTACACATTGGAGTCTTGCCAGTGACACTAATAGAAAGGATAAGGGCTCAATAACTAGTGTCTCATATCATGCTGATAATTTGAAGTCCATTAGTAGGGAATATTAACGGGTACAGATGTATTTCCTGCCCTGTGGGTCATGCAATCCATACTGAAACCACCACAGGCAAAAAGATTCAGTAAATTCACATGTTTTTAAAGGTTATTCCTTAATATAATCTGTTCTTGGTTTGTGTCTAAGATGTTTTAGCACATTTATAGGTATGTTTTTATGTCTTCTTTATACATGTCTCATACATGTTTATACATATAACATACTTGTCAATGGTTGGACTCAATGGTCTTGAAGGATTTTCTCAACTTCAATGATTCTATACATGTCTAATAGAGCCAAACTGATCTCATGGTGGGCACAGCAGAGTTCTGAGCCCCAAATGTTGGTGTGTTCATACCTTGCAGGACACTGTTGACGATGGTGTCTGTGTGCTCAGCCAACAGATCTGCTTTGGCAATTGCAGCCAAGGAGAGATAACTTGACATGTTTCTGCACAGCTCCTTATTGCCTCTCTGAAGAAACTTCACTGCCACTGGCACAGCCAAGGCCATCACTGGAGGTCTGTTGTAGTTCTGGCAAGATATGGAAAAGTATTGAAAAATAAGCAGCTGGAAAAGAGGTTAAGATAAATTCTCGTGCTGGGCAGAGGAGAAAAACAGAAAGCAAAAACACCAAGGGGAAAATAGCATAAAACATGTCAGGAAAGGTTATGTTTTGATAACATCACTGAAAAGAGAGAGAGAGAGAGAGAGAGAGAGAGAGAGAGCGCGCGCGCAAAGAAAGAGCGAATAAAAGAATTGAAGATTATTACACCAAGAAATGCCAATAATGCACCTTTTTTGCCTTCTGCTATGGGAGGAGATGATGTGATATAAGTGCAGTGATTAAATTTTAACTGCTGGAACATTTCTAGCAACATTTTGTACTTGATGGTCTCTGAGAAGGCAACAGGGGCTGCATCC